AAGACAATGCGAATAAGGTTAGGGGCTATGCGAAGAAAGGGAAGAAAGGCCAAAAAAAAGGAAGTGCTGGTCCGGTGACCGCGCAAAAAAAAAAGAAGAAAAGAAAACAAAAAAACACAAAGGGCGCGCTCACATCACCGCAGGACTTTTCTAGATGTATGTGACCGCAATTAGGGCCAGAACTGGATGAATCACACCGCAATTACGTCCAGAGCATAGAAGAAAGAGTCCTAGTGTACCCAAGAGCTTAGCTTAGTGGGTACAACATTGAACTGTTGAAATATAGACTGGAGTTCGAATCCAGATGATGGAACTTGATTGATGAGTAAAACCAAAAAGATTTCTGAATTAGGGCCTCGTTAGACCCTCCTTGAAAAATCCTCAGGAATTAGGACGAAGTCCTTGGAAAATTTCAAGGAATTCGGCGGAGGCGTTACACCGCGTCCTAAACGAAAGGGTCCCAAGGAAAAACCTTGGAGGTATCCCGCGGCCAATTTCATACGCATATACGAGGCCGCGGGGGAGGATGTCCGTCGTCGTCGAGGGATGTCCGTTCGTCGTCAGGCGTGGTCCACTGGCGGCGCAAGGAGGCCTGCGATGCTGCGCTGCGAAAAGAGGCACGAAGGTTCCTTTTCGAAATTCGAATTTCAAACCGTCATGACATACGCACCGGCGCGCCGTGGCGTTACCACCCCTGGAGCTACCAGTGTGCGAAACGTGTGCACGGACGATTTGCGGCGCCCATCGCTGTTGACGACTCGTTCATCCGATCGTCAGCCGGCGAGACACGAAAGGTGACGACGTTGGAGCGCGTGAAGTGGTGCGTGTCCCACTTTCCTCTTCCTGCAGACGACGATGATCCGGTGGCTCGCCATAGCTTCGTGCGCCCGTCGTTCGTGTACGAGGAACTGCCCTCGACCACTCCAACGTCCGCTGGGACAGTGTGCGACGAGGTTCCAGTCGTCCGTCTGCTGTGCGTGTTCAACAAGGCGCCGTCGGAGTATCGTGATGGAACACGTGTCGCAGGAGGTTCATGGCAAGACCTTGAGCAGGGTGGAGAGAAATGCGGTGGTTGCAGCAGTGTCGGCGGTGGCCATGCGATGTCGCATCGAGAGAACGACAGCGCGGTTGAGGACGAGAGTGTCTATTCGCAGGCAGCGTGAGCTCGTCCACCACGTGATGGCGGCGCCCGACTGCGTGTCCATGTCCGAATCCATTATCCAGTTGTGCGCCGCCATGTCATCTGGGGTGACACCGCGGGCGACTCCAAGGTGGTGGATGAGGAGAAGGACGGGTGGCACGTGGGAGGATCTGCGGAAGATGGACGACACCTCTGACGAGTACTACAAGGAAAAGTTGAGGATGTCCCCCAGGGTGTTCATGGAGATCGTGGAGGCACTGTCCCCTCTTCTGCAGCGGTGGGTGACATTCTACAGGGTTCCTTTGCAACCGGATCACATCATCGCATATGCGTTGTACCGATGGGCGAGCGGGGAGACGTACGAGAGCAGCACGTCGGCATTCGGAATAGGGCGCGCATCCGGGTTGATCGCAGTGGAGGACGTCACGAGGGCGCTCCTGAGGGTGTACAGTGACAAGATCGTTTGGCCTACTGGGATGCGTCGTACGCTCGTTCTGCGTGCCTTCGAGGCAAAGGGATTTCCCAACTGCTATGGCTGCATAGACTGCATGCACATTTACGTCGACAAACCGGCGAACGCTCCTTCGGAGAACTACTTCGACCGGAAGCATCATTTCTCCATTGTAGCGCAGGTGGTGGTGGACCTGGACTTGCGCATCACGGACGTTTTCGTCGGTTACCCAGGGAGCTTCCATGACATTCGGGTGCTTCAACTCTCCAGTCTGTGGGCGCGTGCGGAGGAGGGGGATCTTTTCCGCGGAGCTCCTGTTGTGCTGCCATTCGGAGTGAGGACACACGGTTACATTCTGGGCGACAATGGGTATCCGCCGCTGGAGTGGATTGTCATGCCGTACGGGGGGACCGATCAAATCCCCGATGAGGAGAGGTTCGACAACAAGCAAAAGGTTGCCAGGGGAGCAGTGGAGAGAGCTTTCGGGAGATTGAAAGGGATGTGGAGGTTTTTCCTCCGCACACACAAGACGAATATGGACACTCTCCCATAACAGTTCCAGGCCGTGTGCATTTTGCACAACATCTTCCTTGATGCTGGCATTGACTTCGACGAGAACTTGCTGTGGGAGGTGGATGCTAATGGCGTGCGGCGACGAGTGGACTTGGGGTTGGATCATCCACCCCACCCCATTGCCGAGAACTTCAATCGGCCCCGTGTGTTGGCGCTACGTGAGGCGTTGGCGGAGCGGATGAAACATGCGTGAAGGCGCGCACCGCGTCGACGGCACGTGGCTCTGTCGTCCTTGTGGAGGTCGTGCTGGGGTCATCGTCCAACGGAGGCATTCTGTGTTCTGTCGCTGTCGCAGGCGTGTGCCGTGCCCTGGGGTGTTGTGCACGTTCACTGCGGGTTGTCATTGATCGCTGATGTCGTGGAGCCGTCGGCGGAGACGCTGTTCATCCGCAGTTCTTTTCCTTTTTTTTTGTTAACCATTTTGTAGTAGGTTGTTAACGTCCGGTGATGCAGTTTGTTGTGAGTGAGTACGCGCAGCTGCGCGATTTCGATTTCGAAGAAGACGGTGTCTGTCGGTGGGGTGATCTGTCCGGAGGTGACTCGTTATTGTTCTCCTTTTTTTAAATGTGTACCGTAAACCGAAGTTCCGGCTACGTGTGTGCGGCTATCAGTGCTCTGTGACGATGGTGTGGTTTCGTGTATGTGATTGCAATCCAAATTTCTTTTTTTCCTCCTTCGCTTTTTTTCGTTTTATTGTCTTTCATTTTTTGTTTTTTATTTTGCGTGTTGCGGTTTGTATGTTAGGGGCGATGTGTGCGCCTTTCATTGATCTGTTGCCTCGTCAGCAGGACTGAAGCGTGAATGCATTTTTTGCACAGTTTTCAGTGCGCTTTCATCAACACAACGGAATCCAGTCCACCACCAATGGCCGACTTCGCGGAGCATCACATCCTAACTTGGACAAGTCTGGCGGCCAACCGATAAACCAATCATTGGATCACTTCATCGGCTTGCCGGCAAAGCTGTCCGTACTGAGGTGCACTAGTCATACTTGTCATCACATTGGCAACCGACGACCGTTCCAAACAATCAACCAATCAGCACGAAGAAAATGACATTCACACCAAACACGAGAAAGTGTGATTTGAGGAAACGCATCGTCATATTCCAACGGGACACAGCGTTCCATTGCTGGACTCTGTCCAATTAGCACACTCGCAGATGATCATACTTGCCATCACATTGCCAAACAACGACCGTTCCAAACAATAAACCAATCACCACGAAGAAAACGACATTCACACCAATCACGAGAAAGAGAGATTTGAGGAAACACATCGTCATATTCCAACGGGACACACCGTTCCATTGCTAGACTCCGTCCAATGAGCACACTCGCAAAACCCTATCGAAATCGGACTGTCGTTTTCAAAAAAGAGTAATAAAAGGCGCCGCTCGTCATTCCTGGCGCAGACCATCCATCGCACCAAACACGATTCACCTTCAAATACCCTACAAAGCCGACCTCTCTCGGAGGTCGGTTAACAACTACCAAGCGTCGGCGGGAGACGGGACACACTGCGCACGTGCGGCGGGGTGAAACGGGAACACAATCTACGTAGGGGCCCTCGCGTGGCGAAACGCGTCACTGCATGCTAACCATCTGAG